CAGCAGGTTGGGGGCAGGTGGTTAGCCACGAGGGGGATGGATTTCTGACAGAGTGGATGGTGTTGCCTCCAAGTGGGTGAAGTCAACATCTCTTGGCCTTGGTGCTTCCCTTAACCCCCCTTGCATCATCACCACATGCTTTTGACCGTGGTGCCGAACGGAGGACTTCGACGCGGAGGAGGCGCAGAACGCGTGGATCGCGCGGATGGACGCGGCGGCGCGGCGGGGCTTCACCGAGGAAGTCCCAGCGCTGAGCACGCCGAGGGACCAAAAAGGAGTGGCAACGGACCGGGATGTGTCCCAGAGGATTGGATGGGTGGTTGTGGTTGTGGTGGGGTGTGGCGATGCCTAGAGGGTGGGACATCACTCAGGTCGGGACTCCTCAATCAGTTGGACTCCAACTCCACAAGGGTACGAAGATTCATGAGTTCATCACTGCGCACCACGGTTGATCTATCCCAGGACACACCGGTAGTTGGACCGTACACGGAGGACACGGGTCTCCCCGAGGCGATGAGCGCCTGTGCGAAGAGCACCGCCTGGCGCAAAGCCTTGGAGCTCTTTGAAGCCATGCCACGCCACGCGGACGCGAAGCAGACCACGGATCGCGTCGGTCGCGTCGGCGTCGTTCTACGGTGGGCCGAAGAACCGTAAGGCCGTAAGGGTGCGACGACTTGCGACGACTGAAGTGTGAGGTTTGAGGTCTGGGGTCGGCCGATCGTCATCGGAGGGCATGCTGCAACCGAATCTGGCCATCATCGGTGGGCCGGCAGGCTTCGATGTGAAAGGCTTCACCGATGAAAGGTGGATTCTCTATAGGCTTAACGTTTTTTCTGGCACCAAGGGCTACGGGTGGAGCAGGACGTCGTCAGTCACAATGCGCCTTGGCCGCGTCGATGTGGCGCCGATCGGAGCGTTGACGCGTCGACCTGGGAGGCGCTGCTCGAAGCTTGCGTGCAGAAGGAGACGGCGGCAGGAGCAGGAGCTGAGACGAGACGGGACGATTCGAGCAGGAGCTGCGAACGATTCGGGTGGCCAACGAACATGGGTGTGCCTCGCCGGTGTGCCCCGCACAACTCTGCATCGCTGCGCGTTTTGCTTTGTTTCTTAAAACTTTTGCTATCTTTTTTGGTGGGGGATAGGTCATGGTGGGTCTCTTGGGATCATCCGTCGTTCATGAGTCAAAAAGAACGCCCACGTCATCCTCTCCACTGACCCCCGGACCGCCTCCTTCTCTCAGCGGTGAAGGAGTTGAAGAGATCTTGGCGAGCATGAACGAGGCCAGGCCGGCGCCGTGGTCACGCCGTGGGCGTGGTCACCGCTAGCATCCGGTCGCAGTTCGGTCGGAACCTGCGACCGAACTGTGAGTGGCAAATTGCCAGATGGTGCATGTTCTAATATCTCCAGACGCTTTATTCTCGGGGCTCCGAGCCTCTTGAACCTTTGGCAGATTCCTCCAGATGTGACCAGGCCCATGTAACTCGACAGGGTTTACTAGCGTGTCAAACCACAATGTATGTCTCATAACATGCTTCAGTGTTTCTTCCACTGGATGAGTGCAGGGTTTCGCCCTGACTTGTTGTGCGAACCAAGCCTCATGTGAGACGCCACCAGCGTGGGAGACCCTGGAGGCGTTGATCTTGCCCAATTTGATCAGCTACAGCACTGCACTGATGGCCTTTGAAAAGGAGGGGCGATGGGAGGAGGGGCGCCTTGTCTGAGACAGATGGATATGTTCAAGATGGAAGGGTTTGGCTGGTTGGCCGCGGCCGACCACGAACATGAAAACAGCTCGTCATTTGATAGACATGTGGCCATGACATCGAAAACTAGAAACTTGGACCTTGGAGCATATCGCACAAAATGCAATTTCTTGCTACCAAGGGATCTCAATCGTTTATGGTCGCGGAGAGCCAGGTTGCACTATCCATAAGGGCAATCCAGCATCGCTAACGAAGAAAACACCGAACCAAGGAACGCATCCATGACGGGATGCTACACCCACACCCACCGGCAAAAAACATGAAAAGAAGAACATCAATGATCGGTTCGTGCCGGTTCGTGCCGGGTCACGCATCATCTGGCGACCTTTTTGCAGAGGTGCCGCCCACCCACCAGTCCACAGACCTTCTCCCGCTTGGGCCGACGACCGAGGCTTCAGCTGCTGCGGCGCATGCGGCAGACGCTCCTCCAGCTGGATGTGATTTGCCTCTCGGCGATGAGTCTAGTGGTCCCAACAGCTGGGAAGGGTGAGACGGTGGGAGGAGCGATTGGTAGTGGGCCTTCTTATGGGCCAGGTTGCAATCGATGTGTGGAAGGACTTGCTCAAGTGGGTGTATAAGTCCGTAATGGTGTGTTTCCAAGAGCTTCCGGCCTCTTTGCGTGTACGCCTCAAAGAGAAGCAGTCGCACTGGGAGCAATCAACATGCCATAGACAGTGCTAGAACATGCTAGAACTTGACTGCACAGCCCGCATGGATTGGAGCTCGACGTTCAATAGAGATTCCCTTCTGCCAAGGCTACAACTCTGCCATGAGCGCGTGCAAAGTCGCCAGCCAATGGAATCTCGGCAGCGGGTGCGACTTTACAGATGCCCAGTTGATTGGGCCCATGCCCATTTGCACATGTTGTTATGTGGATGTTTGTGGCTTTCTTGCGCCACACGAGGCAGGCCGCGTGGCAATTGCTGCGCCCCAGCGAAACAACGGTTTCTTGGCACGAAGAAGCAGCCTCGCTGGAAAGACCTCTTTTGTTGCAACATGTTTGGGTCAACGGGGTGGGTTTGCCCGGAAAAGCCGCCTTTCCTATGACCCAACATGGCCTGGTGGGATGCAGATGATCCACTTCGCTGATGGTGATGATGATGCGGATTATGTGCTGATGCGCTACACGCATGATGCAGATGACGCGTTGATGCGTTACAGACATGATGCAGATGATGCGCCGATGCGTCATGATGTGGATAATGCGCCCAACGTGCATGATGCGGACGATGCGCTGATGCGTTACGGGCATGACGTGTAGGATGAGCTGATGATGATGATGATGATGATGATGATGATGTCTTGAATGGATCTTCAACTCAAGTCACAGTCTTGGAGTTCATGAACTCCAGTTGAGTGGCCCGAATGGCGGAAAACCCTTTATAACGTATGGTTTTCTAGCCCTCCCTCAGCATGTTGCTTTCTGGGCAAGCCTCCCTTTCACCCAACATGTTGCAACCCTTCTTGGACAAAGCAAGACAAATTCGTAGAAACGAGCGGTCTTAGAAGCTGCACATGTATTTTTGAGTCTTGACCCTCTACAGTGGCCATCTCAAGGAGCATCACGTTCGTCACAAGGACTCTTATAGTGGCGGAGATCTACGAAAGCTTTCTTTCCCATGTTCGGTCGTCCAGGTGGCACGCTGTGACTTAAATGCCCGTGAGTGACAACTCACATGGTGACAGCTCACACCGCCCGACACCCTCCAGCAAAATGATCAAATCAAAAGGTCAACAAATAGAACCTACTAGGTTACCAGATTCCTGTAAAACACAATTCTGCGGTAGGAGGATCTTCCCTCAAAACGAGACCCGCGACCGGACGTGCCCACCCAGGTCGCGGGCTTCAGCGCCCTCTGCGCCGCGTCGCGCTGCCAGTGGCGCGCGGCGTTGCGCGCGGTGGAGCTGGCGCTGGGCGCGGGGAGAGCCACGGTGGGGCAGCGCTAGTTCTCTTCGCTTTGGGATGGTTATATAAGTCTAAGTGGCCTTTGTGGAGGGCGGGGTATTAGTAGTGAGGCTTTCGTACTTGTAGTGGTGGGGTTTGAAATAATTATTGGACTCCAAACTGCTGGAGCTTCCACTTGCGGTGCAGCCTTGCAATGGTCTCTATCACGCCCAACATCAGCTTTCAAGCGCGGCCCAGGTTTCACAACCTACCTGATCCGACCGGCACGGCGACGCTACTTTCACAGGTCGTCATGTATGCCTCCACCCTCGAAGCCGCTTCTTGTGCCGCGGCCTGTGCTGCTTCTGCGGGTGCTTCGGTGGCATCGGTGTGGCTCATGCACAGCTTAGAGGCGCTGGAGACCTGGGGGAGAGTACCTAGACTGCCGGATCCTTGAACAACGTAAGAGCACAACGTCCAGTGGCAGGATGACCACAGGAATGTAGTAGTGCTTCAAGTGGCAGGTCATGGTGCCAATTCCTGGCCTCGGATGATTTCCGTCCTCTGTTGGGTGTTGTGTGACCTCACGCGGCGCCGGGAAGTCCTGGGGTTCCCTGCAGGAAGCAGCGTGGGACTTGCGCTGTCAGGCTCAGAAGGCGAGTGTGGGCTGAAGGGTGACGTTGGCAGGGGGAGGTAGGGGCGGGGCGGCACAAAGCGTTTGGCGATTCAACTGGGTCAGATGAGACGAGCATGATTGACCAACAAATCAACTGTCACACACAACGTTGGTTGAAAAACAAGGGCATCGAAGGGAGGTCTATATTTAGCCATCCGGCTTGCAAGGATTGAGGAAGGGTTCTCGGTTTGGTGCTTTTGTGCTCTTCACGTCCTCGACTGAAGTGTCCAACCTCCTTGGATGACCACTGCCCCCCCCCTCCCCCATTTCCAGGAGTAGAGCCTCCGCCGGCAGACCGTGCCAGCCCATCGGCCCGTGTGGCCGTTCCTGTGCGGAGAAAAGAGACGGAGCGGGACGGGCGAGGGACTCAGTGGATGGGATTCTGCTTGAAGGACTTCCCCCCCAAAAAGTACTTTGAGTGGATCCCATGATAAAGTGCTTGAATCGAAGGATACATCCCATCCCATCAAGTACACTTACTTGACCCCCCAAATCCTGAAGGATTCTATGAAGTACTTGATGTGACTGTGATCCATTCGGTCAGATGACCCGCTCATTTGGGCAGAGCAACCCATGCAAAGGCGGCATTTGCACCTTCTCAACTTGGTGACGGCAAACGGTCCCTTCTATGATCGGCTCTCGTTCCTCACACGTCTGTGGGATTGATCACGGGGAGGCCAGTGGCAGCACGCTGTGCGGTTGCTGATGGACATGGAAGATCGTCAGGCGCAGAGGGAGCGCGCAGGGAGTGGTTAGGGAGCAGCGGGGTGAGCTTGGGCGAAGCGAGGTTCCCTTGGCACGGGAGGATGCCAGCGAAGTCTCCCAAGCAATTAATACAGCTGCCGAGCCGATCAGGTTTGAGAAAAGGCTCAAGTTCAACTTCCTCTCCTCTGCGCTGGGTATTCAGATGCATGTTGCCACCCCTAGAAAAGAGATGGTCTTGAACAGTTGGAGACCATGAACACCTTGCTAACCAAAAAATTCCTCCGACAACCTCCACGAAATCCCGGGACAACCGGCGGTTTTGCATGAGTTCTTCTCTCCGCGTTCCTGTCGACGTCTCCACAGCGCGAACCGCCGCCGCGAGGGCGTCGTTTCGTCGCAGGTGCAACGGGACGGAGTCGCCGTGAAGGCCACGATCACCGCCTGCGAACGAGGCGACCGACCGCACGTGGAACGTGCGTGGAACGGCGTGCGTGTTGGGCGGCATGGTGTGGAAAAGCCAGGGCCAAAAGCACGTGTAGCACAGAAAGGAGAGCTTATTTTCCACACATCACATGCTTGACAAAAGTGTTTGCCATGGTATGGACATGAATCTATTTTTGCCAACTAACGATGACGAGCTTCCATTATCTGCGCCTTTAATAGAGCTTCGTACTTTGCTACCGAATTGCATTTGACGAGGTAGCGAATGGGAAGGAGCACTTCTCTTGCTGTCCTTCATGGAGCTTGTGGCACTTCAACAGGATGTGGTGGCGTTCAATGCCGTGATGAGTGCTTGTGAGAACGTGGGGGAGTTGCATGGCCGAATTAGGCACCCCTCAGGGGCAGTGGATGTGCTAGGAGTCTTTGCTTCAACGTTGTTCGAGGTTTTCGATGCAGTTTGATGCTATTTGTTTGTAGCTGTTCTCCTAAGTTTGCTGCTGCGGTGTATGCCATCATATTATTGCATTCTATGAGAGCCACCCAGGTGGCAAGTGGCTTTGCATTTGCTGTGCCTCGGGTTGGAGAAGGGACACCTCAAGGGTATTGAGGACTGGGTATGGAGGGTATAAAGCAACCAAAGAACAAGGCGGCAACTTCAGTTTTTGAACACGTTTGTGCTTTGCCATCTTCATGTGCAGCCTAATTTATCTCTGGATTTCATGCATGTCAGATCAATAACACCTTCAGATTCAGCTTCGGAAGATCAACACTGTTGCAGGAAGAAATCCTGAAACCATCTGAAACCCATCTCAAGAAGTTCTGTCCCATCATATCCCACTCTACCTCACTATACCCCACTACAGTTCAAGGAGTTCTGAGAGTTCTGAGCGTGATATCCCCCATGTAATCCGTGGATTCTTCCAGATCACCCGTGCACTTGACCGACCGCCGGTTTCGGCCACCACCGGCCGAAACCGTCCTCGGCAGCTCTCCCAGCGAGGCGGTCCATGGACTCCTTGGAGATCCAACCAGATGAGCCGCTCGGGGTGCGTTTTGCGGGCCTCCGGGGGTGGAAGCGCCCAAAGTTCTCCGCCGTTTTTGCCTTCTTTTTCGGGCTTGGAGCGGGTTTTCTTGGAGCTTCTACCAATTAGTAACATCACATGATGCCGCCTCACCGGGAGGAAACAACATAGTATACCAGTTGCAAGATTGCACATTACCAGGAGGTGTTTTTGTAGAAACTGCGCATGCAGGTGTGACGCATTGCATGGAACAGGTTCTAACATATCGAACAGATCCCAGATCTCGGCTGAGGATCTCCTTGAATGCTTGCCTGAGCTCCTGTGAAAAGGCGCACGAATGGCAGGCACCGATCCTGAGGGCGAAGAAGAAGAAGTTCATCCAATGGCGGTGACACATGTCCCGAGTTGGGTGTGCTAAAGGGTGCTGCATCCGAGGTTTCTGTCGGGTTATGTGTTTGTGATCTTTTTGAAGCAATTGATGCTTTTGCCTGAATGCTGATAGACAAGTTCTCCAGGTTCTCCTGCCTAATTACCTACCTTCATCCATACTTTGATCCAATGGTGTGGGATGGATGGTCAATCACTAGCACTGTCATCACACAGTTCAAACGGTATCCTCCTTGCAAAGATGCCCATAGATGGCCCTCAAACGACCTCTTCAGCAGTTCTTACCCAATTTCCCTTGCAACGCAGTCGTGATGTGCATACTGGCCCCCGGCGGAAGATGGTGGAACTGTGGACGTGTTGCAAGGTTTTCTTGCGGTGTCATTTTGCTACTACTAGCGATACCCTTGTTATTAGCTTCTATAGCTACTAGTAGCAATTGCCTTTGTTTCTAGTAGCGATGGCCTCAAATCTTCTCTCCAACCTAGTAGCTTCTTTGCTACCCATTCCCCCTCCCCTCCCCTCCCGCCCTTCCAGGTGGCCCTCCAGCTCCTGGTTTTCGCCGAAAACGCCGACGTCATCGGCTACAACGCGGCGGCTCGGTGGAACCCGGTGGAGGGCGCGGCGTGGGGGGCGCCGGGGGGCCAGCGGGCTGGGACAGGTAGCCCGGGGGTTTTCAAAGGCGGTTTCTCAGAAGGTTCCCTTCAGAGCTGTGGTAGATGAGTGTTTTCTTTTGGGGTGAACCTGGCCAGGAGACATAGTTTTGGTATGCTTTTGATGGTTTTTGTGTATTTTATTAATACAATGTTCACCTGATTCGATGCTTTGTTCGCAGGTAGGCCACTGGTCAAAGAAAGATGATGGGGGCTCGCGCTCACCTGTGTAGATTGCGTACCATCACGTTGCACCTTGAACAAAGTTCAGTTCAACCGGAGGTCATCAGTGCTTGTGCCAACTGTGGCGAATGGCGAATGGCTTTGGCTGTGCTGGCCAAAATCACCGAAGTGCAGGCAGATCCACCCGCTCAAGAAATAGTTTCAGTTGGGAACACCCACGAGCGAACAAGAAGAGATTGCGCCTTTTATTATATGGTATTGCACCATATTGCATACAGTATGCCATACTGCACCCATGTTTTGACAGATTCCGACACCAAGCATGAGAGCTTAGACAGTTGGCTCAAGAATAAGGACTTTTTTGGCGGCATATTCTGGACTAATAACTACTGTATATAATAATAACATTTGTCTCAGAGTGTCAGTTTTGTTTGAGCCCTTGTGCTTGCTTGGGCAACTGGTGCTATGTGGTGGATCTCCACCACAGACTGACGTGTCCAAACAATTCCACGCAATGAGTTGAAGGCTTCGTCGTTCTTGCCATTATGCCCAGGCGTTGCCCAACTGTATCAGCTTCAGCGCGGCTCGGCGGATTTCGGGTGCGTCTGTTTCGTGGGGGGGGCAGCGGGCCTTTGGGTGAGATGGTCAGCCATTGAGGTCATCTGGTCTCATTGAGAGTTGCTGAGGCCCCATTTTTATCCAGTTTTGGTTATGAGACAATGACTGAGAAAAGGCCACATGACAATCAGACTCCAATAACCTAGGCCGCCATCAGTGCCTGTGAAAAAGCTTGGCGTTGGCAGGTGCGTGTCGAGCAACAAAATATGTCAACCATGTTCACATGTTGAAAGTTTTTCTGTCGCTTTGCGTGGTTGTACTCTCATGTTTGTGCACTTTCTCGGCCAGATTTTTGTGTTGGTTTCAGTCTTGCACACCTTGCAGCAAACATTGGCATCAAGAAGGCCCAATATATTGGTGCATGCGCTGTAGATGATCCTGGATTTTGCATTGACGGTATTGCAATAAAGTACATGTTTTTCAGCTAGCGTTGGATTTTGGTCATGGCTCACAGCCACAGCAACCCCCGCGGGATACTGGGCAGGTCGCCTGCAGCTTGCTGGATGAGATGCCACGCTGGAAGGTTGAGATGAATGACGCTCAGCTGCGAAAAAGGGGAGAAAGACGAGAGACACACATTTTCCACCCGACTGGAACCTTTCAAAGTAGAGTCGCACCTTGTCACACCCAACCATTTTGAGTTGTCAGGTGGCTGCTAGTCATTTCTAAGTAAGCAGTGTAGCGGCAGGCTGGTCGCCCAACACGGTTGACGCGTCAGTGTTTGTTGGTGGGATTTACCCTGTGGTAATGCAATCCATGGACCCCTGAGATGAATTCCCCGGAGCTACTCAGCAACCAGAATCTCAATCTCATCCTGAGTGGTGGTGGTTCAGATGTTTTTAACTCCAAAAACTGTTTGGCAACAGAACCTTGAAGAACCCACCTTCCCGAAAAAGATCTACCAATTCAATGGTGCCAACCGCATTCGCCAGCCGCCAAGCGCCGTCAACGCTGACGCCGGTCGCAGGTGATTGGATGCAACGCAGCGCTGAGCGCCTGCGAGAAGTGCACGGTGTGGCCGGTGGCGCTGGAGCTGCTGCAGCTCGGCGGCTGCGCGGGACTGGTCAGTTGGTGCAGGGCCATGGATGCCAAGGGAAGGCCTTTTTAAGGGGGAGGCTTTCCATTTCTTTTGGGATGCCAAAGGCGCCAGGTGATGTTTGGTATTTTGTTCCTTTCCTTTTGGATGTGGTGCGTCTTTAGTAACACTTTTTGTCACCTTTCTCCGTCTAACCCGACGGTTGAAGGAGGTCTCCATTGAAGGTTGGGCCAAGGTGTGGAGGGTCGTCCCTCCAAGGCATCCCCCGAGGCTTTCATCTTGGAACATCCCCCGTCTGCCACTGCAGAAACCACAGCTCCAGTTGAATTGAACAACCTCTTCCAGTGGGGGTGTTATCAATCAAGAGTCTACATGATGGCTGAACGTGAAGATTCCGTTGCTGCACTGGTAGGTGAGGGGACTGTATCACTTTCCCTATCTAGATGCTTGAAGAAAGCAAGGAATCAACTGTACAACCCACCTTCCACCTTGGTTTCATTCCGACACGTCTCCGTTCCCTTTTCTACAGCGCACGCCGCGAGGAACGCCTTTCCAGCGCTGGCAGTCCGTGCTGATGCGATCAGCTACAATGCGGTGCTGAGTGCCTGCGACAAAGGCAGGGTGGACGTGCCACACTGAGAAACTCAGAGGTTCAAGTGGTTCCAGGCTCTTCCAGGCATGGGATGCAGAACCCAGCGGGCCCCCGGTGGCAAGGGCTACTCAGAAGTGGGATCCCAAGAAGGACCAAATCGGGGACCTTGCAAGGTCTTATGAGCATCCTTCAACAAGACCACCGCAAACAGGTGAGTTAGAGGTGGTGTGGATCCATGATCAAAACACCTGTCCTGGGTGCGCACCAACATGTTGGACCCATGATCCATTTTGTCCCCCAACAGTTTCGGCGGCACAGGCCCTCCCTGCCCTCACCCATCATAGATTCTTGCCTCCAGTTTCTCCTGCAGCGACGATCAGGCAAAGAGTGGCAGCTAGCGTTGTTTCTCCTTTCGCAGCACGTGGCCCCTGATGAGATTAGCTGCAATGCGGCCATCAGCGCCTGTGCCAAAGGCCGGCTCCATAGGACATGCTACTTCAACTATTTGCTTGCTCTATGCCAATCGCCTCCAATCACCCACCTGGCAGCTCTATGACTCTATCGGCTTCAGGGTTTGGAACACTGCATGGAGCGAGACTGGCCCGGTGGGACGGCCGGTCGTGACCAGATCGTTTTGGCCGCTCTGGGTGGACCGAGACCTGGGTCAACGGGCTTGTGTCCTGGTGGTGTGAACAGCCAGGTGGGTGATCAGTTCTTGACTTGCTTTACCGGAAACATCTACCAGAAAACCATTTAAAGTCACTTAGTGGGGCGCAAAGACCATGGCTTCCCGATGTTTCCTTTCTCGATGTTCCCTATTAAACCCGGCCCATCCATTTTGATGCACTGCCCGGTCTCCTCCTCCGTTGCGCGTCGCTACGCGCCCGGGCCAGGTGACGAGTGGCGCCCGGCGACGGCGCTCTTCGGGAGCATCGAGTGCCGTGGCGGTGTGGCGATCGGCAGGCATCCATTTTCGGAAGAACGTGATTCTTTTTGTTCGACGATGTTTCAATTCGGTTCGCCCCTCCCCACGCCTTCAACAAGGCGCGGGAAGGGATGTGCCCTGGTTTAATTCTGTTGCCCCGGAATCGTCAGCACCGAGACCCCTCACGGTGGGGGATGGCGTGACGCAACGACTCCCGCAGTTATAGACGGCCCAACCGATCGCGGAGGCGACTGCTCAGGGCTCGGGTTCCGCGGCTCCGGCGCGAACGCCATGGCTCCCGAGACTCCACAGTGGCGGAAGGAGATGTCCATCCCATTTATTCCAGGAGTCGAGGGCGCCGGGGAGCGCGTGAGATGTAAATGTAGTGGGAGTGAAGGGAGCTGGAGCTGGGAACTGGGGTCTTTCAGCATCCTTTTTCTTTGGAATGGGCCTATTTTCCCGATGGTTCGGCACATATCCGCCAATTAAGTACACTTCTGAAGGGGTTTGGAGGTGATATCCTGGACAGTCGATGTGGGGCTATTTCAGTGGGCTATTTCCGTGAAGTACGTATAGTGCTTGCTAGGACGAGGGCAATCACGTATCGGTTGGATTCACGATTTTTTCATATATCGAGGCACGGAACAGCGACGACGAGGACGGGGCATGTACTCCAGGATTCCCGGTACCAGGTCTAGTACTTCAAAAGTCAGAAGTGCCATGGTACCAGGGCTAGTACTCATCCTGGTACCATGGTGAATTGTGGAATTCTTCTCCGACCCTAAGAGATTGATACTTATAGTATACCTGTCGCGCTTCCTGTCGGGTCGGGGTGCTCTGGAGACCGGAGACCTGTAAGTACGTAGTGTGGAGATGTCCAGCCAGGTGACCCCGAACGCCCGCCCGGTGGCGCAGCTGGTACTTTTCCGTTGAACGAGCCGCATGCCTACTCGTTCCGGACCGGCGTCCTCTCATGGCACCCGAAGACCTTGGGTGGGCTCCGTGGGCGGCGCGAACATGCCCCACCACACCGGGTCCCCCGTGTCCCTTCGGTGGTGCTTCCATGCCCTTTGGGAAGATTTCGGGGACACTGTTGCAGCTAGAGCTCTTCACAACATCCACCAGAAGAAATTCCACAACATCCACTGTTGGGTAGTTCTTTTGTTGAAGGTAGGAATTCGCGCCATTTCTTCCTCCATCGCCAACACCGGCCACCCAAGCCGAAGAGTCTGCAGACTCTCCCAGCAGCGGCGCAGGACCCTTGGAATCTTACCCTCCGGAGGCCATCGGAAGATCGGAGGACATTTGCAACTTTACCACTAGCCAAGCCAAAAAAGCCTCCCAAAAACGACTTCTTGTGATGATTATACGACGTTCCTGTTCTCCAGAACCAACACAGCCTCCCCGGCCAAAGCAACGTCGCCCCACTTCATCACCTCGGTGCACCAAACCGACGAAACCCAAGCAGCGCCGCCGCGGTGAAGCTCGCAGCTCCTCACCGTTCCGTCCCGTGCGCGAGGCGATTCGGGTGCAGAACACCTTCATCCACATCGTTAGTCCTCGCCCGCCGGAGCCGCATCTCTCCTGTCCCGCCAGCCGCATTGGTTGCCTCAAGGCCGGGAGCGGGGGCGGGTCCGGTCCGCGGGTGCGGCGGCGGGGTAGAGCGGAAGACTCGAAAAAAGGGTCGAGGTCGAGAGAAGACACCCCAAAAAAGGGGTGCAAAGGGTCTCATATAGGTCCATTTTGAAGGGGAAATATGAGGCCTCAACATCGAATTCGTGACATTTTGATGTGGTGTCTATGTCCATCTATGACCATGTTTTCTTTTATTTTGGAGGACGTGCGTTGCGATGGAACCCACCGCACCCGCGGTCCGAGCGGCCCAGGCTCTCTTCCGTGAGGAGTCTGCGGCCAAGAAGGCGGGGGGCCGAAAGGGAGGAGGATCCGGTTCCATCGCGGAGGGGGATGGAAGAGGAAAAACATGGAAAAACCGTGACTCTATAAGTCCTAGCCTATAGGGAGGGCCTATGTGGGCTAGCTATAGGCTATAGGCGAGAGAAAGGAGGGACTTGCTTGTCTGACTTGTGCAGAAAACACATCTTTTTCAGAGACCTGTAGATCAAGATCAGTGAGTCTTGATAAGGTACATCGCAGTACATACATATATAAATATATATATCTACATCCGGTTGCTACTGGCTATCTAAAATGAGTGTGGCAAACCACGGAAAACCCATTTTATTGGACTCATTTAGTTTATTTAGTTTAAAGGGCTTTCTAAAATGAGTCTTACATAAAATGGTGGCACCGACAGATTTGCAAACTTGTCAAATTAGCCAGTTGTTTTAGATAACATTGTGAGAAAGTTGTTTTACCATTTTCACTTTTCAGATTAAACGCCTTTGCTGTGTGAAACTCCTTTTGTTTCCGGATCAAATGATGGGGGGTGAAATGGGGGTGAACTTCTAAGTCGCTAGCAGCCCGGGGGGCGGATCTACTCTTATTTACCAACCTTTTCAACGATCTCCACCAGCCCCACCAGCCTCACCCCCCACCAGCCCAGTTCTGAGTTCCGAAGCTCCGAGTTCCGTGCAGGACGAACTCCTCTCTGATATCTCTGACAGCCCGTGGCTCTCTGCGCCCCTCATAGCCATCCCTCCGCCACCGAAGCCTCGTACGGCGACGGCGGCGGTGCTCGGGAGTGCAGCATTGCCCTCAGTGGGCAGCAAAGGACATCATGTGGAAGGCATGAGCTGCAAGCCCTGTGCCCCAGACCGCAAGAAGTGAGTGGATAAGAAAGCATCAAGGGTGGTTGGGTGGGTTGGGTCTGGAAAAGGATAGAAAAGGTATGAAAAGGTCCTTCTTGGGTGCTTGGGTGGCTGGGTGTGGTGTGCGCCACATCCTTTTTCCTTCCCCCTTCACGGCCGACCGACTGATTGAGGCGCGTTCCACCACGCGAAGGGCTGCAAGAACGGCATGACCTGCCCGTTCTGCCACCTGTGCGACCGCGGGGAGAAGAAACGACGGCAGAAGGCCAAGAACGCTCGGAAAGCGATGAGCCATGGTGGAGCGTGAACCGCGTAGTTCGCTCATGGAGCCAGGACACAGAAGTGCATATAGTCCATAGTCCTTCCATGTCCTTCCTATGACATGTCAAGATGTTTCAGCACGACTTTTGGGGGTAACCGACCCGATAATGAGTCTTTTTTGGGTTCACCTTGAGGGATTTTTGTTGACCCTTCAATTGTTTCGAGGCACATGATGACGACTTCTGTGTCGGTAGGTGGCATAGTTGCAGAGTTACCCAGAGTTGCAGAGCCAGGAAACGGCCTAGCTGGCTCAGATTAGAGAATATGTACTCGACCCATCTTCGAAGGCACTGAGTTTCATGTATAGGGAGATGGGTGGAAAGAATTCAGGAGGCCTCCGCCACATGAGCCCTGTGGCCTCATTAGTCGACTGACACCCTGTGACTGCATGCGAACGCCCTTGGAGACATCCGCCTTCCTTCTGGAAAAGGCCGATTGGGCCATGAGGATTGGATGCAAAGCAGGATGGGCAGAGGATGGGAGGGGAACCTTTCAAGCTACCCAAAAATGGCCAGTTGGCCTTTCTGAGGTTCTTAGTTATAGAAGGTGAAGCAGCACCTTATACATGGGGTCCGTCCCGCCTATTCCTTGTAAATGACTTGTATATATCAAGGTGTGTAATGGAGACGTTTCGTATGGAGTGAAAATCCGACCACTCCAGAGCCGGGTCACGGGTCAAGGCGTCGCACGCTGGACGCCGCGCTCAGGTGCCGTGGCCTTCAGCGTGACCTCATCAGCCACAACGCCGTGGCTCGACACGAAGCGGAGCCGGTGGGCTCGAGCTGAGGGGGACGTGGAACGTCCACCAACAAAACCAAGGAGACGGAAAGCGAGGCTGTGTTGCTTGGTCATGTTTTGTTATGTTTTGCGGGTTCTTTCCTCAACTTAGGTGTGATTATGTGTGATTTTTCTCACGGTCCACAATGATAATGAGTTGCATGAAGATGCGTCTCATGCTGATTCGTGCTGATCATTTTGGCATATTGTTTGCTAGGGTCTAACTGTGGTCCATTGTACTCGTACATTGGGATCCCGCCCGCAGCTGCGACCAGCACGCTCCTACAAGGCCCATCTGAGTTCCGTGTCCAAGGGCCACCCCCAAAGTCTCAGTGCTCCGACTCCCGCTCCGCTCCGCTTTGAGCTCCGTCCTCGCCGGGTTCTTCGTCCTTGCACCCCTCCACCAGTGTCTCCACCGTCTTCTGGAGGCGAGTGCGAGCATTCCCGTGACGCACAGGCCACGATCCAAAAAAGCAACACATATGAGCTCACCAAACCCCTCTCCACCTCATGGACATTGAGGGATTCCTCTGGTGATTTGTCTCGGCAAATCCAAGGCTTTGGCAGCCTGCGCGCGTGGCTTCCAGTGGCGCTGGGCCGCTCTCGTGCTCCAGCACTGCGACGTGGACGGGGCAACCTTTGAAATGATGGAAGGTTGAAACAAAAAGAAAGCTGATGGAAGGTCCAAGTGACAGAACATGCCAAGCCCATGTCTTGGAGCTTCCAGTTCTTCTTTTGGAGCTTTTTCTCCTCCCGTGCTCTCACGTAGTAGGGCTGCGCCGCGGAACTTCACGCGAGGAGCCGGATGCCATCTCCTTGAATGCCGCGGTGGATGCTTGTAAAGGTCGAGGCGAGAGTGGGGGCTCGGGCACTCTTGGAAGGATCACTGGGTGGAAAATGGGCTCAATCTATGCCGTTATTTATGCTTTGCTCTGTGGTGACACAGTCAGCCGGGCCGTCTTTGAAGTCTTTGGATTTGAAGAATTCATCCTTCACAAATCTTCAAGTGAGCTCTTGCGAGGTGCTATTAGTATAGTGGTGCCATTACCAAGTTCAAAAAACCAAATCAGCAATGCCCACACTGAGCCTAGCAGCTATGGCAATGGAAGTGGCCCGTGCCAAACAGATCGTCTCCACTCAACTTCCACTGGCCGCAGTCGTTAGTCGTTCGTCTCTGTTTTGAGTACGATGAAACACGATCTGAGAGCTTTTTAGATGAAGAGGTTGGCCACGGCTGGGCCACGCGACCAGTGGCCAGGGCTTCCCTCCGATTCAATGATGTTGAGTGTCGGAAAAATGTAAATAGATTTCTTGTCCTGTCTTGGTCTTGCTCGTGATGCGAGCTGCTTTGTGTTTTGGCCAGGCAAACTGAATTAAGTAACTGCACCTGGATAATGCTAGTGCAGAAGTCTTGCTGCATTCACATTCAACACATCTCGAACGGTCTGTTTTCGATTCGCCAGCATGGATGTCCGAGCATGGACCGCTAAACCATGTTCCTGGAGTCCGGCGATCATTTCGGAAAGCTCGTGAGTCAGGTCCACAAACCACGTAGCCAACATTGTCATCCGATCATCTCACCCCAACAAGCCTTTCAGCCTCACAGGCGCTTGGCGTGCCTTGTTGGATTTCTTGTCGATGGCAGAATGCCGGAAGCTCTCGAAGACAGTGATCACGCTGAACACCGCACTGTTGACCTTCAACAAGGTGCCGGACCGTTGTTAATGGTGAAAGGGAAGTTGTGGGGTTGTCGTCTAACATGTTTAACATGTCTAACAGGTAGAGATTTTGGGACAATTGACAATAAAAAGGTCTATAAAACAACTCTAATCTGCTTCTGACAACAGGGGATCTCTGGGGCAATCCCCATACAACCGAACCGAGGTGTCTTTGCCATTATTCCTGCCGCTCTGCCGCTTTGCAAGCCTGCATTTGTTTGGTAGCCTCCAGCCTACTAGCTTCTTGCTACTAGTAGCTATTTGCTCCTAGTAGTAATGCCAGGAGCTACGAGTAGCGTCCTAGCTCCTAGTAGCGATGCCTTTTGTTACTAGTGTTGCGTTCATGTCCTTACTTCATTGGTCACTTGTGCCGATGTCGAGCTTTGAACTGTTTACCATAGGCTATCTGGCAGGCCGGGCGTTGGCAGCTGGCGCTTTCGACCTCGCCGGGCAACGCCATCAGTCGCAGCCTGGGCTGCGCGGCCTGCAGCTTCGCTGGACGTGTGCGGCAGCTGCGCGAGGTGCTGGGCGAGTTGGAGCAGGACGGAGCGACCGGACGGACGTCTTCTTTGGAAGGGAGCTGTGGGGCCCGTTGATGAATGCAGAATGCTTGTTTAGAGAGAGAGAGAGACAGAGAGAGAGAGAGAGAGACAGAGAGAGAATGGGAGAGAGAGAGAGAGAGCATGTTTTCAATATTTTTATTATTGGGTTTGTTTGTTTCGAAAAAGGTGACACAGATGGGTGTTCTGGTTCAAAGCAAGTTGAAACAACTGCTCTGGAGGTATGCACGGCACAAGCACAAATGTTCAGGAATAAAGACTATATATGTTTCCAAGTGCACCCATGCGCTTCCACGGTGAATCAGAGAACAGTCTTGTGGGCAGCTTTGGCTTCGGGCGTGGGGGGTCCATATGCCATTAACGGCAGCTTTGTTCACACAGGTCCTCCCACAAACGCCCCCGATGAAGTGAAATCTGAATAAACCAATAACTAAAACCTGAAGTTCCCAGTCTTTTTGAACTAACCAATTGTTAATTGAATAAATCTGACGTCCTAAAATCAGTCAACACATGTCAACACCCCTAGACTCTGAGGTGCGTTTCCACACGCCAGGAAGAAGTTTTCACACATGTGAACACTCAAGATCCCAAACGACCCCCTCGGTGGAGAGAGCCGCATGGAGAACCATGGACAGGATGGCCTTGAAGCGAACCTGATGCTAGCGCCAAAGGCGCGCCAGCTGCGCATGAAGGAGAAAGAGAAAAAGGAAGATGCTGATGGTAGCCCATGATGGAAACCATCAGTTGTGTTGGTGGTGGTTGACCAAAAACGAATAGCTAATTACACCAACAACCAATCTCAGTTGAGGAAACCCGCCTGAATTTCCATTTGCAGCTCGTCTTAGCATGCGCCGAGTGGTGAAATGCAGCTCGTTAGCAGCAATCAGCGCCACTGGTAGCAGCAATCAAGCTGGAAAGCAGCTGATGTATCCTGCGTGGGACCTTTTCCATAGCTATCCAGTGACATGCGCTCCTTCCCCAAAAAGCTCTTCAGTTTCTTTTCCCCCAGTTTTCCCCCTTCAGCACCTTCAAGGGCTTCCTCCCCCACCTTGGACCCCCCAAAAAACCCCGCTCAGCCCAAGCCTGAGAGCTGTGACTCCGGTGATCTGGCCTGGTCTCCTACCCTCCTGCCCACTGTCCCTCGCCGTCCCCTCCCAGCCGCAGCCAGCGACGGGACCGGCGGACGGAGAAAACGCCACCGACGGGGAGGGGCCATGGCCGACGTCACCACGCTCTTGCAGGCGGAAAGCGTGCGCGGGGGGGTGGGTGCTGTGGGGTGCTTGCTGCCGGTTGGGGCGGGTTTTTTATCGAAAAGGATGTATCGATGAAGGAGGATGAGTTGAAGTTGAAGCCTTTCGTCAAGGTTGCTTCCACCTCTAAATCTGGGGCCTGTGGGGGCAGGTTACCAAACCATACCCAGCTGGCATTTCTAGCTCGCTCGCGCTCTCTCTCTCTCTCTCTCTGGGTACTTCGGGATGGCCCAACTGCTCAAGCCTTGCTGTTTGTACAGCCTCGAATCGTGAGCACTTGGATTGTTCAAGATCATGGACCTTTGTGGAGAGCCAAAAAACGAAAAAAACATCCTGAAGCTCGATCAACCCAACCTGAGGCAAAATCCACGTCTTCAACCAATAAAGATGCGCTTCCCAAGTGGTGGAGAAAAACAACAACTCCAATTCTGCATTACACCCGGAAAGATAACCATGGAACCTGAAAATGGGACCTTTGGAAGACCATATTGTCCTACAACCCAGTGGTCTTCTAGGTTCCATGTGGGTCTCTTCCCAGAGCAGCTCTGCTTGATACACCGGCCTTTCTTCGGTTTCACCGGACACTTCCCCGCTCAGCTTCGGTCTCCTTGCGGACGGGGTCGCGTGACCTGATCGGCCAGGAGCTGCGGCGGAGCCAGGATCGCTTGAGGAAGGAGGCGGGACCATTTTGGTCAGCGGAAGATGAAGAAACCATTCCATCTTATATTTTCATATTTATGGAAAAGCTTGCGCCCAAGGTTTGGGTTTAGGAGATGTTGGACTGAAGTTGGGCAAGTGGGTCCATCTTTATTTAAAAGGAGCTAGATTGGACATCATTCTGGCACGTTTATGGTTACAATTTGGATCTTAATTGACTTCTCAGATCTTTTCAGATTCTAGGAGCAGGAGGATGTCTTCAGTTGTGCCTTTCGTCGTCCAAACCGCCCAACTGACGCGATGCGCCGTTTCGTTTGCGTTCCGCTCAGGTGCTGAACGGTCAGGCCATGATCCTGTCGGAGCTCAGGAGCTGAACGGTTGCGGGGTAGCCGAGCTGAACCATATAGTGAATTGAGAGTAGATGGCACTGACCCCAAGAGGTGGTTTATATGGACCCCCATCTAAAGGACATCTTGGGGTCTGTGCCATCTACTCTGATCCCACTGTAGCTGTACCGCGATGTGTTCGCAGAGAGTACATACCATACGTTGAGCCAATACCCTTTGCCTAGGACAGAGATCGAGCCGATTGTACTCCTTGAGGGGGGTGCTTTTTCTGAAACATACGTGGTAGCAAGTTGTCGTTGTCATTTATGGTGGTGGTGTTTGTTAGTTGTTGTTGCTGCTGCTGCTGCTGCCACGACCCAGAATGGGAACCAATCTGCAGTGACTTGATCGTCTTGAAATGGCAGGAGCCTCCACGACTTCTGGAAAGATCAACTTGGCATCGGGCAAAGTCGCTGGCATGCAAACTTGTGATGCAGAATCACAAGATGGGTGAATGGGGAATAGATTCGAAGATATTAAGCCTTATGCCGTCCAAGCTAGCAACATCCTGAGGGATTGGCACTGAAAGAATTCCTAAACTCCCCGGCAATGAGTGTCGTTGACTAGAGTCTATGCAATTCCGTCTCTCAATGGTTACGATGAGGGTTGTGTGGAATCATGTTCTTCCTGTACTTTATGTTGCTCTACTCCCCTGTGGAAGACCACATGGAACTCCAAACCCACTGGATTGGAAGTTGGATTGGATTGTTTTGTTGAAGGACTTCTCATCTTTAATTTATCAAAAGCATGTCCTAGGTCCTAGGTGTGTCGTTCGGTGGTGCTGATACAGAGAGCTGCGAGTGCAAAATCGAGTGGCTGGGTGCGACTAGCACGGAATGAGGGAATCACCCGCTTGTTACAGATAAGGGACAGACAGTTAGCATATGCTAAACGTTTTTAAATGCAGTTAGAATATGAAACATGTTTGATGCTATATTCTAACTGTCTGTCCCTTATTGTACAGATAAGTACAGATACCTTCGGATGAGCCCCGACGGAGGAGGCCAAGCGTCGCCCGCCCAACGCGAAGCAAGGCCTCCCGAGCCGACCGCTGGACGCGGACCGCGACGTCCTGGACGTGGTGGCGAGGGGTGCAGACCGCGAGGTGGACAGCGGTCCGGGACCTCGGGCGGACAGCTCGATGGCAGGTGTGCTCGTAGGGCATTGGAGGCAATCAGATCACTCTTTGGACATCACGCCTGCCGATGTGCCATGATTTCCTAACATTCTGGCATGCCTAGGAATTCGGAGATTCTTCGTTGGTCTTTTGGCAGAGCAATGGAAGGTAGAGTCGCATCACAGTAGAAACATGTATAGAAATGTACGAGGGAGTCACTTGCACTTGTGATCTCCTTTTGAAGACTTCGGCATGCTTCCTGAACCTTCAGCAAGTCCCTTTGCAGGTCTGCAGGGAGAAACGTTGACATGATGACACATCTACTGTAAAATATCGCCACAGCAAGCAAGGTTTATGCAATTTTATACATTTACTTTTTGCATATGAGTAGTAGACCAGCGGCCGATTGGCAAGCTGCACGCCACCCCAGGCATCTCCTCCATATAAAGACAGCCAGTCACTCTTAACGTTTCTCAAGTCGAGCTGGAGCTGATAGAGGCGGTGAGCCCTCGGTCGGCGGCTCCCCTCCCTTTCAACCCGAGCCAACCGGGGCCATGCGACCGTCCCTCGAGGCCGCTTCGGGCCGGATGGCCTCTCCAAGGATGTGGAGGAGTTCACGGAGTCGGTGGTTTGGGGCACCCGAGCTGGGTGAGGCGTATCGGGGGAGGCAAGTCGATGGGTGCGATCTGGTGGTAGGGAGGAGGGTAGAATGTATGTATGTATGTATGTATATATATATGTATAACGGTAACGTTTCCATCATGCCGCCCTCCATCATGCACCATCATGTTTCCCCCAAATGTATCGCTTTGAGTTGCTTGCACCTACCACATGCGTCCGCAGCATCTCGGTATACCTGGTTCATCTCACGCGTCGCCCAGGTTGGGTCGTTGGAGGGTCGTCCGGTCGCCGAGATCAAGAACATTGAGGGCTTGACGTCCGTCTTCGCCGACGACCTGGAGAGGCGTGCGAAATGGCCGCTGCAGACGGGGAGCTCAGAAAAGACAGAAGAGGGCAGTTGAACGAGTGCAAAAGCATCAGATAGTCTTTGAAGGAAGTGTGACAGGTTTTCAACGTTTGGGGTTCGGTTCAAGTTGCCTAATGTGTATGCTGCCTTTTTGCTTTTTGTTCTGCTCTGGTTGTCATTCAGCTCCACATGTGCCTACTCCTGTAGCAGTGGACCCAGGCCCCGTCGCGCCGCGCGGCCGCCCGGCGACGGCCGCACGGTGCGCTTCGCGCCGGGCGACGGGCACGAGGGCGTCCGGTGGACGAGCACGGCGGGAGGCGCCGCGATGGAGGCGCCAAAGGGTGGTGCGGTGAGGAGGCGATGGTTGGGAGGTTTCCCATGGAATGCTTTTCAAAGGAGACGAGAGAGGTTGAATGGTAAGCTCATAAAGTCATTGAGTGCTTTTGGACTCCATTTTTGCTGGACCAGTGGCGAACTTGTTGGACTCATAGATGTGCAGGACTTTGGTGGACCATGGGCCATGTGTTGGGTGTTTTGGGGTGGCGGGCAGTGCTTCAGCATTGGGCAAGTCTAAGCAAAACCATTGAGGATCATTGAGGGACATTCATTTCAGGCGAGAGGTTTTGGGTCCTGGAGCATCTACAGTAAGATAATGGATGAGGGGTTGGTGTGGAAGTCTAGCCAGTAAGGTTGGGGATGTGAACGTGTACCAATTGCTCTTTAAAAGCGGGTGCTTTCATGTCCCCACGAGTTTCTGACAATGACGCTGGGGGAGAGATCAGTATCCCGGCCTTTGGCCAGGCAGCCTTGGAGAGAAGAGACTTCCGCAAGATCGCCACTACCTCTTCAAGCAGCAAAGAACTGCCCGGTAGTGACCTTGCGAGCCGGCAACGGCTAAGAAGGCCCGTTCCGATCCATGATTTCATTGTTCCATGAAACGTTTGACTGTCTGACCGGAACAGTCGAGCTCATCATTTTCGTCATTTTCATGTTTTGGTCGTTTGAGGGTGTTAGATCGAGGTTGTGGATGCTTGTTGAAGGGAATCTTGCATACCACCCGGCCCTGCCCGCAAGCCCGCGCCGCTGCCAGGCCTTCGCAGGAGGTAGCGAGCGACGAAGCTGAGCTATTCTGATGGATCCGTGTTTCAACGGATGCTGTGGCAAGGTTTTTGTGTATGATTTAAGGCTAAGGTAGAGTTTTCCACGTTCGTTAGTATTCGTTGTATGTCCGGCCGCTCCACCTGAACGTTTCGCTAACACGTGCCCCGGAAAGAAGTCGCAGAGGAGCAGGAAGAAGAAGTAAGAATTGAGGTCATGCCCCTCATTATACAGTCAATGCTGCATTAGTATAATTATCATAGATCGCTTCTTAAAATCCACAACATAAATACCGACCTCCGGCAACATCAGAACTTTACAAAAGCAGTGAGTGCAGCATAGTCTTTGAAGAAGCTGGTTCACATATTGGAAGCGGCCGGCAGTGGCGCTCTGTTGCGTACGATGCGTCGGCAGATTGGTGGATGTGTGCAGAGATCACGGGTGAACAAGCGCTTGTTGGATGATCTTGGATGATATCTTTGTTCGCGGAACCTGCATCATCTCAAGGACCAGCGATCCCTTTGTGCATGGTCACAGTGAGCACCGAACCATTCCGACGGTGATCGGTGTACGACTTTGAAGGATGAGGGAGGAGCTGCTGGCCCAGTCAAGGCCCCCAAGTGACCGAGCAAAGCAGCAACATTGTAGCATAGGCATAGGTATTTGAAAGGACACCGTTCCTTGCCACTTGAATTTATGCCCCAACGTTCCATGGCATAGGTGGGGGTTTTCCGTCCGTTTTCCGGATGGCCTTTATCACCTGAATTTCTTTTCATCCGTGCCATGGGGGCCTCTTCTTCCACCAAGCCGGCCTGCCCCTCAGGGGCGCTCAGCGGGTATGGGAGAGTGTCAGCTCTGTTTTCAAGTCGTGCTGTTGTTGGACGCCGCTTTTTCTCCACATTGACGTGTGGGGTTTTTGTTTTTAGTGTTGTATCCGCTCCTCCTTCCTTCCTCCTCCTCCCGCCTCCCGCCTGCCACCCGCAAACTGCCACCAACCAATTGCCACCAACCAATTGCCACCAACAAGCCGCCACCAACTAATAGTAACTAATTGCCACCAACAAACTTCCACCAACCACCAACCACCAACCACCAACCAACCACCACCAACCACCAACCAACAACCACCAACCACCAACCACCAATTGTCCACTCCTGGGTCTGGTGAAGTTGTTAACATGTCGGGTTATCCGGTCCTATAATTATTGCTGGACATTTTTGTGCGCAACCGTACTGTGTTTCGAAACGCTAATGTCCCAGTTTGCGCTTGCGCAAGCAGAGCATGCAGTTGCAGAACGGTTGGGTGACTGATGCTTCTGGAAATCTTGGTGGTGAACGTTTTGAATGTGGAGATATTGGCATATTGAGTTGAGTTGCATAATCTATGAATGCAACATAATGCACCGTAGACTGCTGTGACGACTGCATTTTAGGTGAAGGAGGTTGCTCGACATTCAGCCCCGAATCGGCGATTGCCCAGCTTTGAAGCTGACTGTTGAGAAGTGTGGGCAGGCCATTCTTTTGGCCGATGAACGCGGACGCCTTGAAGATGTCCGCTACTTCGTGGCGCAAGATCCTTCCGTTGTATGGATTTTCTGACGGCCTGGAATCTTAACTCGAGATGAGCGAGTTTCTTGAAGGAGGCTCAAAACGGAGGGGCTAAGGCTAAGGTCTTCTGAGCCGCGTATGGGCCGAAGAAACGCAGGGTATGAGGAATAAATCCAAGAGAAATCTAGAATCCAGGGAACCCCATTACACCAAATTCTCCACGACCTCCTTCCACCCCAAAAACTGCACCGTCCCAGCTGGGCCACCATGGCCCTCCTTAGCCGGTGGCAGCGGCCGTTTGCGGAAAGCCCCGTGGAGCCGAGGTGAGACCGCGCTGCACAAAGCAGCCTGGTGTGGCCAAGACAGCGTGGCGAAGCTGTTGATCGACTCCAGCGCGGCAGTGGACGGCCGCGGGAGGGCGGCAACCGCGGTCGGTGTGTGTGGGCCGTGTGAACGGCCGAAGGAGCGGACAAGCATTAGCATGACCCTTTTGAAATGTTTGTTGGTCTGGAGTTTTTGGTGACGCTATGCACATGGATGTGGGGTTTGTTGCAGCAAATATGGCGAACAACACCGATCGACCCAGTATAGTAATTACTCTCTCTTCTCGGTGCGTCCGCCACTTGTTGGGATTCACCTCGGTCATGTGTTTTTTCTCCTCCCTTCGTGGTGCATCCCCGTTGCCATCTGTGAATACAAAGGAACGCCAGACCATCCATGAGACTGCAGCTTTCATGATGCCCCATAAAAAGGAACTGCATCGTGACCCAGACCATCCTTACAACTCTTCCAGTCCCATAATTAGCATTTATCATTTACCCTGCAACTCTTCCAGTCCCAGACTACACCGTCGCCCAGACAGACGCGACGGTGGTTTTTGGGTTCTCACGGTTCTGGGCGGAGAACGAACGTGGGTTAGTCTGTTTCAACTTCATCCCCAATGATTACCCGGATGGCGGATTAGGTACAAGACCAGGTTTTACTGGGTCGGATTGGACGTACGTAGGGTATGAATTTGCAACATCAACAAAACAGGGGGGGGACGGGGTTGTGGGCTGAGCCAGTGGCTGAGCCAGTGGACCCCTTTGGTTCAGAATAGACTCTGACGAACACATCATATGATATGGAAGTGGTATGGAAGTAGTATCCAGTCGCAGGTGAACACACCAATCATTGGTGGAACAAGTGGCACAGACCGCCGACAACGGACGACAGACCAGCCCGCCGATCACAGCGGATCTGCAGGATTTCTTCCATCCACCAGAAAAAGCAACATGAATGGTGGGTCTGGATTTGTACTGGCCTCAGTGGGATGGGACAGGATTGGAGGGAGCCGACTTTGAAAAAGGAGATGAGAGAAGGGCGAATCGGAAAGCGCCTGCGTATCAAAGAGCTTACTGTGAAGATGCTAAATATACAATTTTGAAGACATAGAAGTTATTTCAAGGATTTTGAAAGGTGATGCACTTTCCCATCTATTTCGCCGTCCTCCTACAGCAGTTGTCTGGTTTGCCTCGGCGATGTGGTTGCTTTGTGTCTCTGATTCTAAATCATCATTGCCTGGACCTGATGGCTTTTTTGAGACATGAACAAGATCCAATCCCAGCGGCTTTGCTGGAAGTGATGAGCCTTTTGACCATCGCTTGGGAGAGCAGTTGCCAGAAAACGCCTTTTGCTTCTGCCTTGGGGCCTTTTGGCCGGCTCCAGGCCTTACGCACGGGTCCGGCTCCAGCAGGATCCGCGGGGGGGCAATTTAGTCCCTTGTCTCTTGATGTCTACCAGCTTTATACAAAAGGACAGGATGACCAGTGGACAGGTAGATTTCTCTCAGGACTCGTCTGGGGTTTCTCTGATGTCTACAAGCTTTAAGTTCCCATCCCAATGGCTTGGTCCATGTCTTCGTCCGCGTTGGCTGCACCGATAACCGTCGTCATGGACATCATTGGCAGACTTGTTGTCGCGACGATATGTGACCTGACACTTGTAGTCTCCCTTTGGCTCAGTCTTATGTAGTTGGGAAGTGTGCAAAACATAGCGTGGCCATCCATGGCCCTGCGAGCTTGCGACTACACCATCCTAGTCTTGGACCTTGCGGAGGGCTTGGTCACCACTCTGAACCTCAACGAAGAGGAGCATGGGGCCATGTACTTGGCCATTTTCTTCACATCTTACACATTTCTTGATGACTTCTTCCAAGGCTGTATGAGGTGTACGGAGTGCAAGTGGGATGACTGCATCTGGAAGATTGGCGTGGAAGTTGGGCAGTGCATCTTCTTCATGCAGTTCTCTCTTCCAGGCGTCACGCGAGCACTGATCATAATGATGGTTTTCCAGGTCGCCCTCAAAGTTGCCGGAACTTGCTGGGATTCGCTCATCGAAAAGAACAGCGCGGAGAGCACCGGAGGTAAAGCTGAGCCGGGGAAAGCCTTCTTTATGGGTTTCCTGAGCCTTGTGTTTGGAATGGCGCTTGGAGTGCTTCCCCTTTTGTTTGCAGAAGGGTCCTCTTTTCATGAAAAATGGTATGAGTGCATGGTTTGCGCCTTCTTGTGGAGTTTGCGCATGCTGGAACAGCTCGTCAATGACGGTGAGACTGCTTTGGTGAGATGCGCGTTCTGTGTTGTGGCTTTGTACATCTTCGGCTTCATTTGTTTGAACCTTGGAGTTGCCTTATCTTGGTGCTCACAAGAAGGTGATCTTCCACTCTTTGACCGTGTCTACGGCGTGATGCTCAGCCTGGCTACGCTCATTTGCATTCTTACCTGCATATTTGCGTGCGCAAGAGATCATTGTGCACCAGCCAAGGCAGGCGAGGCTGCAGCTGATGGTCAAGTAGTGGGAACTCCAGCCGTCTAATCCGCCCATCGGTGAAAAGAGGTGAACTGAGGAGTTGGATTCTCACCGTTTCACCCGTTAAGAACTGGAGGGCGGCCAGCGCTTTAAGAGCGAGCCATGGCCTCCAAGCCTCGAGCGAAAAGAGCGAAAAGATCACCTGTGCCTTTTAACGCGTGGACCCATTTGCAACAGCAAGGTTTGAAGGTGCTTTTTGGTCAAGGACAGCACTGGGAGAGTCGCCTCGCGCGTGACCGGTGGAGAGCGGAGGAGAGCGAGCTTCGGAAGCGAAGCTGGCGAATCCAGTGGCAAAAGGCAGGTTTTTTAGGGTGGTGTTTTGTTTCCGCTGATGTTGTTAAGTAGACGTTTTTCATGGTCTGGTAGTTGTTTGCGTGTTCTAGTAATTTCAGCTACCTCGAGCGTCGAGTATGGAATCATATGGAATCACTTCAAGCAAGAACGCCCTTTGGATGCCTGCAGTTTCCGAACTCCGCTCTGCCTCATCGTTTGTTTGTGAACTGGCACCAGGAGAGCGAGAACTCGGGCACGTCCGACGCACGTCGGTCAATGTTCGCCACACGGTGGACTGGTCGGGTGAAGCAGGTTGAACGACCCAGCCGACGGTGCCCATGAACGAGCCAACCAAAGCCTGTTGGCGACGGGGGCACTGTGAGGATGCACGAAGGGAAGGCGGACGACATGGGGCGAATGGAATCTTGGAGTCGAGGGGAATGCGAAGGAAGGAGGGGTCGACATGGGTCGACTGGGGACTGGGGAGGGGGCATGGACTCAAGCACATGGCATAGTCAGAGCCTGTAGTATATATTGTGAAGAGAGCTAACTTGATCCATGACTGTTCTGTTCCAAGCATGTCAGTTGTTGCACGGTGGTACACCTGAGGTCCACCGAACTTCCAGTTGGGTCAAAGGTTCGACCCGCGGCCATGACTAGGCCTTGAGCCTTCAAGTGAGCGGAAAAGAGCCGCTTACTAGGTTCGCTGCGTCTTGACACTGGTAGGCGGAGCCTAAGTTGCTCCCTTGGGGCGTGCCATTTGGTCGGTGCTTTGCTGGTCATTTGGCCCCTCTTGGGTGCGGTTGTGGGCAGTGCATTGCCGTACAGAGCTTTACATTATCGTTGGCTGACCAGGGTGATATTGGGACACTTTCATACCGGAATTCGCTTCTCGAGTATTGGTGGACCGTATCCTGTGGTGGTTGCCGGTTGGAATTCATTGCGCAATTTTGATTGGCCCCCGCAAGTTTCACATTGCAAGGATTTTATTTTAGTTTTGAGTTTTGAGGATGTCGAGCTCTTCAGGACAGTCCCACTATGTTGACCCAAGTCCAATGTGGTGCACTATGATGGAAGCGCGGAGCTGGCGGAAGAGTATGAGGAGAGAGTTTGGCTGGGATTCCAAATGGTTCAGAAGGATGACAAGGTCAGCTATGCAGCCAAGTTGAAGAACGCCCTATTTGGGAGAGCTTGGACCCTCTGTCATCGACAGCCGGAGATCGCAGCACAGAAGCTCCTCCAGCTCAGCGAGGCTGAAGCTAGTGCGAATGCTGGTCCCAAGGCCGCTGTTCAGTTGGTGGTGAAGACAGTTCGAGCTGCATGTGAGAAGGTCGCACCATTGCTGAAGACTCAGACCTTTGAAGGTTAATTTTTCGACAAAGGACGGCGACGATTGGGAGAGAGCATACAGGACTACATCAGTCGAAGAGAGAGTGAGTACGAGAAGCTGACAGGACTTACACAGGGTCACGCAAAGCTCTCCACCGACCTCCAGGCCTTTTTCCTTTTCAGGAATGCAGGTGTGAATCCACGCCAGCACAGAGCCATTTTGGGTCAGGCTGGAAATGAATATGATTGGGACAAGATCGTGGAGGCCATGCTCATTCAGCTTGATAGTGGAGATGAGTTGACGGGGAAAGGATGGAAAGGAGGCTACAAGTCTCGTTCACAGAGCAGCTTCGGATCGGGAGGAAAACGAGGCTCCTGGGCTTTTCCTATTGAGGAAGAATGGTCGAGCTTTGATGATGAGACAGAAGAAGCCTATGCCATTGATGAATGGTATGCTGAGGAGCCAACAGATGAAGACATCCCGGTCTATGAAGTTGAAGAAGACATTCAGTTTGACATTGAAGAGATGGAGCACGCCATTGAGGTGATGACCATTGAAGACCTGACCAATGAAGAGTTGGACGTCTTTGCAGCTACAGTTCAGAAGATGGGCAGGGGCGCATCCGAGTATGCCAGGAAAAGACCGGCAGTGAGGGATGGCAAAACCAACCGTGGTTTTCAGCCCAGTGCCATCGGTCACAACAAGACAGCCATTGCATTGGATGGAAAGTTGACACTCAATGCAGGACAGCTTCAAGACAAGATCCAACAGGTCAAGGCTCGCACTCAATGTTACGATTGTGGTCAGAAAGGTCATTGGCGTGGAGATTGAAGTTGCCCTAAGAACACCGGAGCACCCAATTCCAAAGGTGGCAAGAAAGGACATGGAAGGAAGGGTGGAAGAAAAGGTACAGAGGGCAGGCATGGCAGCAGCAATGTTGGCATCAGCATCAGGTCAGTTGCTCCAGTCGTGTCACGAAGCATTGTCATGTGTTGGTGTGAATGAGTTCGATGATTGTTCTGATCAGACATTTCACATCGAGGAGAACCATGAGATGTTTCCGAACCTGGAGGACTATGATGAGATGTTGAGTGAAGTGGAAGCGTGCGTGACTCGGGAGGAAGAGACGGAGAAAATTCCACACAGTTTGACACTCATGGACAATGCAAGCAGTGGAGCAGTTCCCGCAGGAAGATGTGTGGTGGACACAGCAGCCTTGATCGGCTGTGGAGGTGATCGCACTCTGGACAGATTCATTGAGAAGTTCGGGAGTGACACCAAGCTGCAGAAATCGAACAAGGTGCTGAAGGGTGTGAATGCAGATGCCCCGGTCATGGTTCAACACCAACAATATTGGTTCAGAGAAGGTGGACATGGACTATGGAGCTGGTGGACATTTGTTGTTGGACGTTGGGCATGGAGGCAGAAACAAGAAGTCTACAAGGCTGGCAGGAGAAACGGTGGAGGTATTTCATCAGCTGAAAGCCAAAGACTTCAACGTGGAAGCCATCCGCATCATGAAAGGAAAGCTTACGTAGGAAGAAAGTTCAGAGGATGGCAGAGGAAGCAAAAGAGCATGGCAGAGCCTTGTGGAAGGAGCTTCGAAAAGGGAACAGATCCCATGCGAGAAAGGTGATTGTGAAGGAGCTCTACAGTGGTGATGATGGGGGTGTCGTGACAGCATTAGCGAAAGACAATGAGATGCCCGTGGGACGCCCTCGTGATCTTCTCTTGGGTGACAACTTCTTGAAGAAAGAGGATCGGGCTTGGATCTTAGCAGAGATCAAGATTGAAAAGCCGAGACTTTGATTGTGACCCATGGACTCCTTTGAGCAACTTCCTGGATGAAGAAACCAGAAGGGGTGCAGCAAGAGATCGCTCTAGATCACCTGGACTTTGTCAAGGAGGCTTGCGAGCTTCAGATTTCAGAGGGAAGACACTATTTGTTGGAGAATCCATTGACAAGCCCAAGATCGAACATGTGCCGCGCTACACATCCCGCATGGACCAATGTATGTGTGATCTGAAAGACATCAATGGAGATTTTGTGTTGAAGCCTACGCGTTTTGTCACTTCATCTCCGGTGTTGGCAGCAATCCTGAGCTTGAGATGCACAGGAGATCATGAACATGCACGGGTTCAAGGACGAGGTGTGAAGAATGGCCAGAACATCTCTTCCATGCTGGGAAAAATGGACGCCGCAACTCGGTGTCATGATCCTAGAAGGCATTCAACGACAAGTCCGTCTTGAGGAGCAGTGTGGAGAAGTCAAGTATTACCTTGAAGAAGCAGATGTCTACCACAATGCGCTTCAGAGAAGCTCAGACATCATGTTCCGACAGCGTGAAGAAGAAGACCTACAAACTTGGGAAGAAGTTCCCGTGCTGCTCAGAAGTGCAACCACTAAGGTGCATCGGCAGTACTCCCACTCCCTCTACAAAGAGAACTTCAGCAGACATCTGAAGTTGTCAGCTGCCCCAGACAGAGCAATCAAGGCAGCATCCTTGTTTACTTGCCCCACTTGTGAGAAAGAAAGGAGAAGTCCAGCACGACCTATGGCCGCTGTTCCAAATCATGATCATTTCAATCAGTGCATGGCCATGGACATAGCTCACATTCCCGACCAGGATGATGTGATGCATTTTTGCTCATGGTGGACATGGCAACCTCATACACTCTTGCTTCCTATTTGTGCTCAGGTGAGGCTCCTGGTCGACCCAAGAAGCCACACTCGTCACAGTGCCACAAGTCGCTGGTTGATTGGATGCAAGTCTTCGGAAGCCCAGACAAAGTACAAGTAGACCAAGATGGCTCATTAAGAGGTGACTTTCGTGAATTGTTGGATCGCTTTGGCATTGAAGAGATCCTGGTTGCACGAGATGCTCACTGGAGCCATGGTGTTGTGGAACGAAAGATTCTCACTGTGAAGGAGATGATGATGAAGGTGGCTCATGACAGTGAGATCAAAGGTGCCATACTGACTAGGGTAGCTGTGGTGACTTGCATGCAAGCCATCAACGCTGTCCAATCATCGTGGTTTCTCGCCAGCTCAATGTGTTTTGGGATTTCAGCCCAATCTGCCTGAGATCATGGGTGACGGCAGAGGGATTCCAAAGATAGACCATGATGAGCACTTTGCCATCGCACAGTGGATGAAACTTCTTCAACATTGTGAACACGCTTTTGTGAAAGCCAATCATTCCGCCGCATCCCTTCGACGTGCTCTACTTTCCCAAGCCCGACAAAACAGCCACACAATTTGAGAAGGGCCATCGCTAAAGAACACGAATTGATGTTGGAGGATGAAGGCAGTCTCCTACCAAAGAATGGACAACAAGGTTTCCTATACCTCTCAAAGCCGCAGGATCCCATCGACCTTGAGGAGGAGCCGGAAAATCCGGAGTATGAACCTACAGAACCTCCAGATGACAACGATGTCTCCCAAGGCAGCAGATGAGATGGCAACAAGCCTTCTCCTTTTGCACTGAAATTCGCCATGTCCTAGTAGAGAATGGTGTCAAGATTGTAGGAGAGGCTGCGTGGCGGTGCTGTCGACAACTGCAAAT